AGGAGGAGGAGGAGGAGGAGGAGGAGGAGGAGGAGGAGGAGTTCATATATCAGTTATCCTTAAATTCAATCTCCAATAAAGTACAAATGGACAATATCTAAATACTGTACTTCACACTTGTGAAACTGAACTAAATATGTCACTTTGATTCTTCAACTGAAATTGGAGAATGTATTCTAATAGAGTACTTGTGTAGGCTAATTCTTACTTAAGTACTCATGTAAGATTAGTGCAAGCATCACATTTACAGATAGCATGGCATCTAGAGAGGAAAAATAGCCAATGTTAACTGGACTTTAAAAATTCACAATCACCTGAAACGGTGTCAAAGAAGTCACTTCCAACCCTTTGTCTTTTCAAACTCTCAAACATCAGCTTGGATGAGAAAATTTTCCCCATTAGTCCATATTGTTATGGTGTGCAGCATAAATTTAAATAAATAAGCCATTTTATTGGAACAAAACATCCCCGCTGCCATTCTGAAGAGCTTCTAGTGCAAACAGACTTGGCAGTTTCAATGAAGTTTCTTTCTCCACAGATGTTTCCAAACCTGTTAAGTATTTCTGGTTTTTATTTTAATAAGAAAAAAATGCTGTTAAATACCAATTCTATGCATTTGGAAGGAAAAAACTAGAGATACTGATTCACTGCCAGATAAAACTTTGTTATGATAACGAATTCTGCAACCTTTTCTTTATATTACCTCTCACAACTTCTTCAATGGCCTCTGTAGTGGTAGTAGTGCTACTGGTTGTATGTTCAGTGGGATCCTCATACTGGTCATCAGCCTCTTCACCATCCAGTTCATCGTCATCTTCATCATCAATTTCACTTTCATCCTCTATTGGTTGCTCTTCAACAATTTTATCACTGAAATGAACAAAGTATAGAATAGTTTTTGAACGTGGAATTCAAGAACACCTCGACAATCTGTAAGAAAGAAAGTTTAAAGAAGCAAACTGCCTTGTAAAACTGACTGAAAGCCAATGTGCTCTCTCCATAGATACTGCCAGACCTGCTGAGTTTCTCCAACAATTTATATTTTTGTGGTCAAACAGAATACCACTTTGCACAATAAATGTAGGCAAAGGTAAAAGTTAGGATGTATACATGGAGAGTGGTGACTGCTTCATAAAAGCAAGAGAGAGAATGGAAACAGCTTTGAGAGTTGATCTCCATGAGAAGGGCAGCAGCAGATTTATAAAAAAAAGAACACTGCTCAGAGCCCCTTCAACCTGTTTCTATAGGTAGATGACTGGTGGGTATTTCTTCCATGTCTTTATTTATTGGCCAAATGTTTGCAATTGGGAGATATTATTACAGCTGAGAATTTAATTTAAAAATTCACTTTTCGAACATTCAGCATCCAAATTAAATAGAAGAGATGGCTGGGCAGGCAATGTATGACAGCGGCACTGAGAGAGAGCTGGTCATTCATACAAAGTCTGCAGAAAGCTTTGTCTGCTTTAAAAAATTCTGCTCAGAATTGATGAGCTGTAGTCCAAGCTGCAGACATCAGGAGGGGGAAGAGGTACCTGGACACTGTTTCAAGAGGCAGTCACACCCCCTAGATTAACTACATCAAACTGGCACATGGTTAGGGACAGGAGGGTGTGACTGCAAATGAGGCGTGGGGATCCAGAATTGAGTTTTGGAGGAGCCCCAGCCAATTCTACAGAAGGGAATTTGAAAAAAAGTAGAAAAGTAAAGAGAGAGCAGAGGGTGCAGATTAATGTAGAGGCAACCAATAATGAAGGTGCAACAGGAAGAGGGAGAAAATATAAGCAGGAGTGCACAGCAGAAACGAGAGAGTAAGTCATTTGCCAGAGTAATTAATAATGGTAAAAACTCAAAGCTTAAGGTGCTTTATATGACTGCACACAGCATTTATAACAAGACTGGGAACCTAATATTCAAGGATATTTGATGTTCTGGAGGAACAGGCAAAAAGGAGAAAGAGGTGGGGTAGCTTTGATAATAAAAAGTGAGTCATGATATTTGTGTTATAACGTGTGGACTCAGTTTGGGTACAAATAAAGAATAACAAAGGAGGGATTTGTCTACAGACCCAAAAAAGTTCTCACCACAGGACAAAGTATGAACTGGCAAATAACGGAGGCATGTAACAAAAGCACTACTATTGTCATGGTTGATTTTAATCTACACATTTACTGGACAAATCAGATGGACAAGGGTGACATGGAAAACTAATTTTGAGAATGCATCAGGGATTATTTCTTGGACCAGCACATTATGGATTCCACCATAGAACAGGCTATTTTAGGTCTAGTAAGTTGTAATGAATCAGAATTGCTAAGAAATCATGTAGTTAACCATCACAACACAGTAGAATTTCAAATTTAAATTCAATTTGAAAGAGAGCAAATCAGGTCTCAAACTAGAGTCCTCAATTTTTTTTTTAAAAAAAAAGGGAAATCACAGAGGTTATGAAGAAAGACTTGTCTAAAGCAAGTTGTGAAAATAGACAAATTGACAATGACAGACATTTAATCATTTCATTAACGCTCAGCAAGAATTTAAGATAACAAGGTGTAGAGCTGGATGAACACAGTAGGCCAAGCAGCATCAGAGGAGCAGGAAGGCTGATGTTTTGGGCCTAGACCCTTCTTCAGAAAGTTTATTCAAGTCAAAAAGGACTCAATGTGAAGGATGAACCACCCATAGTTAAGAAAGCCCATCAAAAAGAGTATCCAATCAAAAGCTAAGGCACACAAAGTAGCAGCAAAAACTAGTGGTCAACCAGAGAATTGGAATTTTCTTCTTTGGGAAGCAGATGATGAAAAAGCTAATAATGGGGGGGGGGGGGGCGCGCGGGGAGGGGGGAGACTGATTACAAAAGCAAACTGGCAAGAAATATTAACAAATGCTTTTATGGGTTTATGAAAAGAGTAGCCAAAATAACAGTGGGACCCTTGGAGGATACAAATGTGGAATTAACAACAGGAAACAGGGAATGGCAGATAATTCAAACTAATATTTTGTATCATCTCAATGTTGGAAGACACTGCAAACATCCTAAAAATAACAAATAAGGAAGTTGCTAATAGGAGGAAAGATCTTGTAATAGTTGCTATCACAAGGGACAAGGTATTTGACAAACTAATGGAACTGAAGGCAGACATGCCACCAGTACCAGATGGCGAGCACCCAAGGTAGTGGCTGTAGAGATTGTGGAGGCATTGGCTAAAATATTCTGTAACTCACTGGATTCTGGGAAGGGTCTTCTTAGAAAACTCCTAATGGGACACTTGTTCAGAAAGGGACGGAGACAGAAAGTAGAAAACTGTTGGCCAGTTAGCCTCAAATCTGCCATTGCGAAAATGCTAGATTCCATTACCATGAAAGAAATTACAGAATATTAGAAAAACTTAATACTATAAAACAGAATCAACATGGTTTTATGAAAGGGAAATGAGGTTTGATGAATTAGATAAGAGTTCTTTTGCAGAGTTGATAAAGGGGAACTTGCAAATGTGAATAGTTCGATTTCCAGAAGGCACTTGACAAGATGCCACTTACACAAGATTATTACACAAGATAGCAGCTCATGGTATTGGCAAGGATTCAGCAAAGGATAATACACAGATGACAAAGTCACGATTAATGGTTCTTTCTCAGGTTGGAAATAACTAGGAGTAGCACAAGGATTTCAATTGTTGCCTCAATTATATACTATCTATATTAATGATTTGGAGGAGGGGGTAGAGTGTAATGCATTAAAACTTGGCAGATGGAGCTTAATCTAAGAAAGTATGAGGTCATGCTCTGGTAGAAAGAATCAAGATAGACTATTGTTTAAATAAAAGGAGACTCCAAAAACAGGTAGTGCAGAGGGATTTGGGTGTTCCTGCACGTGGAACACTTTGAAAATGAAATCTGTCATGCTGGACCAGCGAGTAAATAAAGCAGTAAATGGAATTTTGGTTTTTATTGCTCAGGGATGGAGTTTAAAAATATGGGAGTCTTGTTACAACTGTGCATTATTGATGAGTTACACCTGGAACACGATATACAGTTTTGATCACTGTACTTAAAAAAAAAGTCACTGGAATTGGAAGCAATTGAAAAGAGATTTAAGGCTGATTCCTGGGATGAAGGGGTTGACTTCTCAAGAATGGTTAAACAAGTTAGGCCTTTATTCATTAGAGTTCAGAATAATGAGGGATTATCTTGTTGAAACATACAAGATTTGGAGTAGGTGACTAGGTAGATGTTGAAAAAATATGCTTCCACTAGTGGGGGAGTTTTAAACTAGAAAACTGTGATACAAAGGAACTGCTTTTCCAAAAGGGTAGTCAATATCTGGAATTTTCCATCCCAAAATTCTGTGGAGACTAGATAACTAAGTATTTAAAGAGGGGGTAGCTAGAATTTTGAAATTGATAGCTTTGAGGAGCTGGCACAAAAGGAGGAGGAGGAGGCGTGGCATCAGGGGCAGATCAGCTATGATCTTGCTGAATGGTGATGCAGGCTTGAGGGACTAATCGCTGCTGCTCTTATTTCTCATGTTCTTACTTGTCACTTCAGAAAAGTATTGCAAAAGTCAAAAGGAAAATTTTGTTAATATCTTTAATACAGATTTAAATTAGGTGATCGATATGGATTGCAGTTCCTTTACTCATTCCTCTCGTGTGATTAAGTCCCAAGTCAAACGGTGAAGTCCTCACTTATCTCAGTTTTAAAATATCCAGTCATGTCAAGATGTGAAGACATAACATGCTCAACTTTAATGACATTCCTCTGTTCTTCCCCTCAATAAAGTTCAAATGTTCATCCCTAGGTGCACTGAGTAGGAAGTAGAGTTCTGTAATTTGTTTAAATGATAAATCATTAATTAAACATGAGATTTAGCTGCCTTGATCCCACTCAAAATACAGAATTACCTTACAGACTTAATGTAGTTTAATGAATTTTATAAATCTTCTATACAATAAAAAGATATTTTTATAGTTATGTAAAGGGAAAGCAATTGGTTAAGATGCTACTGGCCCACTGAAGGCTGAAATCAGGGATATGGTCAATGACTGTGGGGAAATGACAAATATGCTGAATGATTATCTTGCTTCAGTATTCACAGGAAAAAAGGAGAATAGCTTGCCAGAAGTCCCAAAGAAATGATCAGAGGATCAGGAACAAGGTCTAAATAGAATTAGCTTAAGTCAGTCATCAATAATAGGTATCTGAAGAGTGATAAACCCCCAGGACCTAATGGTTTCCATTCACAGATTCTAAAGGAGATAGGAGAGCACAATGCTGATACCCCAAATGTAATCTTTCAGAGTTCCTTGGATTCAGGAGTTGTACCTTAGAATTGGAAATTTGCTCATATCACTCCGCTCTTTAAGGGTGAGAGGGAATACAGGGAGTTACAGAGCACTTTGCCTAACAACTGTGGCGGGGAAGTTATTGGAATCTATCAATGATCAGGTAACTGATCACCTTGAAAAATTTCATGCCAACTCTCCCTGATTGACTGGATATGAGGGGTAGTTCAGACTGGGAAACCACTTTGCAGAACATGTATTCTCGGACTATTAGAACGACCTCAAGCCTTCAGCTGCCTGCCACTTCAACACACCAAAATTTCTGTCTCAGCCTACTGCAGTGCTCCAGCGAGGCTAAATGCAAGCTGGATGAACAACACCTTATTTTCTACTAAGGTACCTTAAAGCCTTCAGGACTACAACATTGAGTTTAACCATTTCAAATCATGAATATCCTCATCGTCGTTTGTTATCTTCTCCCAAACCACTAGGTCCTGAAGTACTCGGCACAGCCAAGCCATTTTCAACAATTTAGACTTTGCATTAGCACCCTCCTAGCAATTTTCTCTCAGCTTATCATCAGAATCTTTGTTTGCCTGTTCCTTTTCTCTCAGCATTATCTCCATGCACTCCACCACACCGTGGCACCTCCCCCGCCCCCCAACTTGATGAACATAATAGACACCACCAGAATATTAACCTGGGGCTCTCGACTTCGAGCTCAGTCATGCCACCACTATGGTGCTGCTGCCTGGTGTCTTGAATTAGCATGTAAATATGTTAGAAGCAATTTGTTGTAAATTGCAGTACTTTAATAAAAAGCCTTTGAGTTTAAGGAATTATAGAATCTTAGATAATTGCAAATATTAACTCCCTTTTTTTTCTGGGAATAAGTTATGAAGGACAAATAGTACTCATTATCCTCTACATATGAATTATTTTTGGTGTACGTGATGAGTGCTCACAGCAAACTTATTTTGGAACATAATGCTATACAAGTGCCAATCTTTTACAAAGGTCAGTTTCCAGGTGTCTGGGCTGTACACATTACCATCCTATTATTTGTTACATGCTTGCTATTTACTCTGCTGCAGCATTAATTAACATTTTTATACACATTGTGGGACAATGCTGAAATGATTAAACTCCAAATATGAAAGAACAATGGCAAGCCCTTAATAGGAAGTTTTACCTAATATAGTCGAACTGGTCTAACTTCTTGACCTCCACCACTCAAAGACAAGGGCAACAAGAGCATGGGAGCAGCATCAATGTAGGATTCTCTCCAAATCATATACAACTTCATTTGGAAATATATTGCTATATCTTCTGTATCATAATTTCAAAATGCTGACATTTCTTCCCTAACAGCACCATGTGTATACTTGGCACCACAGACTGCAGTGGCTCAAAGCAGCAGCTCACCACCAATATCTGAAGATAATTAGAAGTGGGTATTAAATAAAGGTATTGTCAGTGAGGGCCACAACCTATGAGTAAGTGAAAAAAATCTCAATGTACCGTTTTGAAGATCAACAGGGCAGTTCACTTCAGTCATCAGGACGATATTTATCCTTCAGCAAATTTTACTAAAATATATAATTTGGTCATTAGCTCAAAGGGGAGGCGATGGCCTAGTGGTATTATCGCTGGACTGTTAATCCGAAGACCCAGATAATGTTCTGGGGACTCGGGTTCAAATCCCACCATGGCAGATGGTGGAATTTGAATTCAATAAAATATGTGGAATTAAGAATCTAATGTTGGAAAAACCCATCCGGTTCACTAATGTCCTTTAGGGGTACAAACTACCATCCTTACCTGGTCTGGCCTAAACCTAACTCCAGACCCACAGCAATGTGGCGTACTCTGAACTGCCCTCTGGGCAATTAGGGATGGGCAATAAATGCTGCCTAGTCAGTGACCCCCTCATCCCATTAATGAATTAAAAAAAGGGTTAGCAATCAATCACAGTGTTCAGACTTAGAGAGAGAGTTTGGAGTCATGAAGAAAACATGTTTAATGTGACAGTTCACATGATCCGGAATGCTTCTTTTCTACATTGTAATAATAACCACAAATCCAATGTAGTACTGTTGAAGTGACGGGCTTTGGAACATTCCGAGATCATAAAAGGTTCTATCTACATGCAACTTGACCTGTCATAATTGGTTACTACACTCAGGCAAGATGTAAACGTAAGATGTAGGAGTAGAAATAGGCCATTCAACCCTTCGAGTCTGCTCAGCATTTCAATGAGATTAAGGCTGATATGATAATCCTCAATTCCACTTTCCTGCTTTTGATTCATTTACTGATTAGAAATTAATTTCAGTTTTTATAAATCTAAGATGTAGGCTTAGACATTCTAAACACTGAGCCCTGTCAGAAAGAAAAACCCTAAAAGACAAAGTATTTTGCTGCCCCCCACAACGCTAATTTATTATTCCCAGTTTAATCCCAATGTGGTGCAATCACTTTCCAGTATTTCATGCAAGATTTTTCATTTATTGGGAGCTTGAGCTTCTACATTGAAGAAAATCTGAAGGTTTACTGTAAGAATCAATACTCAGAAGAACTGCAATCATTTAAGATGCCACTGACTTGATGCAAACTCATCCTATTTGCTTATGAATACATTAGTGCAAAATCTATTAATTTACCTATTCACAAGTGATGAAAATGGTCTGTTTAAAACTCAGAGCATCCCAAACAATTCAGAATTTTTTGAAATCAAGTTGAATCACAGAGTTGAATATGATTCTTCTTCTGAAGTATCAACTGTTTCACTCTTCTCAGATGTTCCTGGAGTTCTAAGTTTATCCAGCATTTTCTACTTTTAATTCAAATTTCCACCATCTGCAGTATTTTGCTTTTGCTGAATGTTTATTGAGGAATGTAATTTCCTTTAGAAACAAGCATATGTAAAACTACAAGGAGGAAGTACTTGCATTCATACAGCATTTTACAGCTAACAAGGTAGGTTTGAAGTTCAGCCATTGTTGTAATGTAGGAAAGAGAACACCAGGTTCCACATGAGAACCTCCAATTGATAATGACCATACGATCAGTTTTAGGTGATGGTTAAGGGATAAGTATTTACTCAAACACAAGTTACCTCCTGCTTTTCTCCAAAACAGTACCACAGGTTCTTTTATCTCTACCTGAGGGGGCATATGGGTGGTAAAATTCAATGTCCCATTTGAAGATGGCACTTCCAAAAGTGCAGCACCAGACCAGAGGCCTAGATTTTGTGTTCAAGCCTCTGGAGCTAGACTTGAACACACACCATCTCACTGTGAAGTGCGAAAATTGAGCCACAACTAAATTAACTAAACTGTCTCAAATTCTTTCAAGTCTAATGCCTAAATACAGAGAGGACTGACTAGATGAAACACAAGATCGAAAGGAACATCAAATCAATGACAAATTGAACAATGAACATTCAATTAGCCTCAGATATAATTACACTGCGATGATCTTACAAAGGCTCATTATTTCATAACTTCTTGCAGAGAACAGCATGCTCACACTAATGTGAGAATTAATGTTATGTTGTATTTATTTCAAAAGGAGTTTGATTTTTAAAGCTACTAGTATTCAGTGGCAATTTTAATCTTTTCTGGTCACCACCACCACTTGGTTAAGACAAAAACAGGTTGCATCCAATTTAAGCAGAACTCAAAACTAGTTTACATACAGTAGTAATTTTATTTTTAATTTGACAAATAAAAAAGAACAAAGAAGCCTTTAGAACATTTTGCTTTGTGTTTGCCTTTTGGCCAACTCACACCACTCCTTGATGGATTACGTAACTCACACAAGTAACCATTTACATGTGAAGTTTGACATGGTGAGTTAGGATGTTTAAGCGGAAGGGGAAATCACCACGCCCAATTCTGATCCTAATTAGCCCAGACGTGTACAATGAGCTAATGTCAATGGATAGAAAGCTTGAGCAATATGTTCTAAGGAGTGGTTACCAGTATCAGATTGCCACTCCGCTCCTTTTCTGGAGAGTTCTGAATTTCTCACCTGGACCTCTGAATCAGGCTGTTTGAGAAACACGCGGCTTACCTTACTAGAGTGTCTTCCACCACAGTCAAAGACCTTAGTTGGAGACCAGTCACACTTTCCTTACACAGCAATAACTGTGTTAAAACTGAGTTTAAAGGTTGTAAAGATACTTTCACAAATTATACAAGACAGTTTAAGTATGTAAGGTAACTGGTTGAATAAGACGGCAGGGTGGCAGGGGAAGGGGCAACAGGCAGGGAAGTGAAGGGTAGGGTGGCAGGTAGGCAAGTCAGGTGTAGAGTGGTAGATGGCTAGGTAATGGTCAGTGGGAGGTCAGTAGCATACTAGGGTGCTTAAATTTTATAGTTACTCAAGTGTCAGAGCAGGTTTTAATCTCTCTAGTCTTTCCTGGATAGCGACTCAATCAAGTGAGTTGTAACACTTTGATGCCTGTGTCTCTAACATGGAGTAATATATTCTTCCAGAGTACTCCAGCAAAGAATGCCTCTGGATTCAACAGATGCAAAACTGTGAAATACAGTTAAATTTGTAAGTACTATGGAACGAAGTTTCAGCACTTTGTTCATCACAGCAGAGTCAATTTCCAATGTTTGTGTTCACGGATGTTTGGTTCTAACACACTTGAGGAATTTCAGAAAGAAATGTTAGGTTTAAAAACAGTTGAATCCCTGCTGAGCATGTGGACCTTAGAAATCAGCAACAGTTTACAGATAAAAATGTAACCCAAATGGATCAGATGCCATAAATTATAACTGAATTGAGATCTTAAGAGTATTCACGGAGGTCATGATAGTCATTAACAGCAATTATGTTTATTTAAGAAAATCTTAGTTGTTTTATTATTTGTTCACAGACGTGGGCATCGCTGGCTCGGCCAGCATTTATTGCCATTCCCAATTGCCCAGAGAATAGTTAAGAGTCAATCACATTGCTGTGGATCTGGAATCAAAGGTAGGCCAGACCAGGTAAGGATGGCAGATTTCCTTCACTGAAGGACATCAATGTACCAGATAGGTTTTACCAACAATCAACACCAGTTTCATGGTCATCATTAGATTAATTCCAGATGTTTAAAAATACTGAATCCAAATTCCAACATCTGCCATGACATGATTCAAATTTGGGTCCCCAAATCACTACCAGGGTCTCTGGATTAAGAATCTAGCACTAATACCACTAGGTCATTGCCTCCTTGGAAATGGAAAGACTAATATTTGAACAAATAAAAAGTGTCATTTAGACATTAACATAGTATTGCCAAATGATTCTAGACATCTAGATCTTCCAAAATATAACTAAAATCATTTATATTGTATACATTTTCACAAAAAGATCAAACATTTGCCTATTCTCGATGCACGCTGGTGAGATGTTGTTCTATGATTGAAATGTAATTTAAAGTGTATAAACTACATTTGTCATTTGATGTCCTTAATACTTGCCTCATGTAAGCTGTCCAGGAACAAGGGTTGTTCAGAAAATTAAAATACAATAAGATAATCCTCACCTGCCATCTGCATAGTCATCATCATCGCCTCCCCACCACACATCTGAGTCCTCTTCATCCATGTCAGAGTCATCAATCTTGTCGTTTTCTTCTGGAATGGGGCAGCAAACAAATTCCACTCCACGAAACTCATCAATACCGCAAGGCAGCAACATCCCAAAGTCATGCAGGTTCATTATCTTATCACCACAGGTCTGAAGAAGTGTGTAAAAAAAAACAACAGTCTCACACAGTTCTTATTTCAATTAAGATTTTTTTCCTTACATTAGACATTTTCTCTGGTTAAGCTTTGAATGACTTTAATTGATGTCCCAAGAGAAAGTATCAGATTTTCATTTCCTTTTCCTGAATGCATGCAAGTTTTATGAATGGACCTTGTTAGAAAGCCTCTGCTAGATGTTCCCAAAAATGAGGAAGTAAAGAATGTCTTGGTTTGCACACACGCACCATGAAAAGAAGTTTTTAAACGCACATGAGTAAGTGAATCACATGAAAATAAAGAGACATGTTTGTGCGGCAGACAGTGAGGTTTGAAAAGATTAATAAGATGGATGGAGAGTGGAACAATAAAGAAAATTTAATCTGCAACAAAGATTACCAGAGCTCATAATGCAGTGGACAGTCTACCAAATCAGTCAAAATGTTGGAGATGGCAGAGTAAAAGAAACATTATACTCCAATCACTTGCATTGATAAAATATTAATGAGAATCATTTCAGCAACTGAAAACTCAAGTGACAAGCCAGACTACTGAGCAACCACGTCAGATAATAGTTCAAATTAAAATTTGCATTACTGTAAAGATTTGAAGCATATATCCCAACTTCTCTTCATTATCTTGTTTCCATTTAGCTTTCCCTCCCACCAGGAAATGTTAAAAATAAATTCAAATTACTGAGTGCTTGAAATCTGAAACAAAAATAGAAAATGCTAGAAATACTCGGCACTTTCTATTTTTATTGTACATAATTAAACTTGATACTTTGGTAGAACCTTTGAGAGACTGGAGAAGTGACTAGGTGAACTGAAAAACTTAATAAGGTCCATTTGTTCTGTCTTAACTTGTATTAAAACAAAATACAAAAATTTAATCAAGATACTTTCTAAATATTAACATAGTTTACTCAAATATTTTTGTATTTGGCCTGAATGTGCTCTATTGATCAAACAGAAAATAAAGCCCTAATTGCTTGGTCACATATTAATAGTTGCAGGCAGCTTTTGTGGGGAGGGATGTGGAGAAGAGAGGAGAACATAATTGTCAATTTTGTTCATACACAGCAGTTCTGTACTACATAACAAAAGCAAAATACTTTGGATGCGGAGATGTGAGATAACTATGAAGTCTTAGAGAAACTCAGGTCTGGCAGCTGGTCTCTTTTCATGGTTGATGCCAGACATGCTAAATTCCATTAACACTTTGTTTTTATTCTATACCACCAAAGCAGAAGCTGGGCCTATTGGAAGTCAACGTCGTGCGTCCAAGGCTAAATTTTGATAGATGCCATTCAAGTGCTTGAAGGACTGATGTTAAAGTGCAAAGAACAAGAGAACTTGGTGCCTGTTACTCTTACTTCCTCTGATCTCATCCAGTTCTACAGACCGGTGAGGGAGAAAATATGCTCATCTGTATCAAGTAATGAGTTGGCAGAATTCTTGTCGCATCTACGTTTTTTGGGTGAGTCAGGTAAAAACCTTGAAGAATAACATCTACATCCAGTCTACATTCTTGGGTCATAAGTTTAAACCCCATCATGGCAGGTGAGGAAATGTGAATTCAGTAACCTCTGGATTAAATGTTAACCATTGGAATTTCCCTGCTTTGTGAATAAATAAGACATTGTTGGGTAAATGTACTGGAACAGTTTGCCTGATGCAGAAGTCTTTTATACTCCTGCTGGAATGCTGTCAGGCCTCAATACATCTTTGCTGTATCGTTGCTTCCAGCTGTTTTAAACTATTACAATAAAGTGAATCAAATCAGTTGAAGTCTGACATGAGAGATCTTGGAGACTTCCTTGGCAGGCCTGGATGGATCATCCAAACTAATTCTGGTGAAATACATTTCTTTGAAAATTTATTCCTGGGATGCGGATGTTGCTGGCTGGGTCAGTATATATTGCCCATCCCTAGCTGTTCTTAAGAATGATGTGGAGGTGCTAGTGTTGGACTGGGGTGGACAGAGTCAGAAGTCACACAACAGCAGGTTATAGTCCAACAGGTTTTCTTCTGAAATCACACAATCTTTCAGTGTGCAGCCCCTTCGTCACATGGGAGTGAGGGAGCAGAGCACACTGATCCAGAATTTATGGGCAGAGAGATCAAAAGATCATACTGCTGGCGTGAGTGGAGTGTCAAATGGTAAGTCTCTGCAGGTGATTGTTAGACGGTGAGTCATGCGTTAACAGCTGAATAACCAGTGAAGGGATGACCTATAATCTGATTAAGTGAGGCAGATAGATAATTACAAAAGAATTAAAAATAAGGTGGATCTGGAGACAAACTAAATGACTGGAATCACACGTCAAATTCAAAACTAATTAAGGTAGAGAGATCATAACAATTTATCAAGAAGTGAGACTGATAGCCACATTCCATACCCATGAAGATGGCCTCAACTGTAATCATGGGATCCCTACAGTGTGGAAACACAGTCCACACTGACCCTCAGAGCATCCCACCCAGACCCATCCCCCTATAACCTACCTAATTGACACATCCCTGAACACTATGGGCAATTTAGCATGGCCAATCCAACTAGTCTGCACATCCTTGGATTGTGGGAGGAAACCAAGCACCCGGAGGAAACCCACGCAGACACGGGGAGAACGTGCGAATTCCACACAGACAGTCGCCCAATGGTGGAATCGAACCTGGGTCCCTGGTGCTGTGAGACAGCAGTGCTAACCACTGAGCCACCTTAGGTTCATGTCGTGCTACAGGTGACCTCACCATGCTGTTCTGTATCTGTAAAAATCTTCCTTACTGTCCTGTTTTGCCTATCTTCTGAAGAAGGGTCACTGGACCTGAAACATTAACTCGGCTTTCTCTCCACAGATGCTGCCAGACCTGACATTTTCTTTGTGATTTCCAGCATCTGTAGTTCTTACTGTTCCCTCAAAAAAAATGCTTCTGTGAAGCTGATGGTGCAGCAAATAAATTCCTGGGAGGCCAGAATTAGATCATCACAGATAGCTTTGAAAGTTGTAGGACTGGAGAAGATTATAGGGACAAAGAAGCATTAGGTCAAAACAATGATGATACCCTAATTTTAAAGTTATCATCAAGAAATATAAGAGTTCTTTTTCCTTATCTTTGCCTCTTATAGTTCCCACAAATAAACTGAGCATTAAAAGCAGTCTATCAAGCAATGACAGAATTCAAGGGAATGGAGAAAGATTCTTTCCTCAATAAGAATAGAAAAACAATGCCAAGAACTACTTCGGCACTGTCGACCTGATTGCTCTGCCAAAATATCATATCCATCACAAATACATGCATTGCAGGTGTGAAAACTATATCATGAATAATTGGCTAATGAAAGGATAAGGAACTTCAAATCACTAGTTTGCAGACAACTATTTGCTTAGTCACTTTCAGCAAAATGACTGTACCTCTTTCGCCACAGTGTGCCAATACAGATGGCTCTCACAGGTGTCCATCTTCTCCCGATGTAGAAACTTGCATTTATCTGGGACAAGGAGGGCATCACTGACAAACTCACCAACTGTGTTGGGAGAAGAGAAAAGCTTTAGTAGCAGAACAACAGATCAGAACATATGTCTTCCAAATTAGCCTAACATAGTGCCACACAACTAAGAAGTTCAATATCAAACAACAAGGTACCAAACTGTAATCACAAATCTTTAACTTTCAAGCTCCCAAATGTGCGTAAGTGAAACATAGCTACAGCTTACACAGAATAAGTTAATTCTATTACATAAGAATATGTATTAGTCCAATTTGTGCCAACTAAGATCATGCGTTGAAAGGAAGACTGAGAGTCACAATGTGAAGTTTGAAAGTAGGTTCAACATTGAGTTAGTCAAATTACAAAGAAGTTAAAATCTTAAAAGAGTGATTAACCACAGATCTGTTTCTTCTCTCCAGCATCCTTTTTTCAAAATATTCAACTGTGGGTATTGATGCTGGGACGTTAACCAAGTCCAGATAAATGATGTGGTTCCTGACAGCAGATATAAACATAAATTTAGGCTAGCAATTAAAATATTGATCTGATCAATGAAATAGCTAGTCAAGCACCTCAGAAAAATCTACACAACTTTCTTATAAAACTGGTATTCAAGTTCTGGCAATAATAAATTTGATCATAATTGGCTATTTATTCTTGAGAATTGGAATGTCCTTTCAATTGCTTCGGGAATATAACAACACACCAAATAATCTCACTTCATTGCTCGGATCTGAAGTTGGTGGAAAATTTGTTTCAAATTTATATTCCATTTCATACTTGAACACTTAATGTACACAGAAAAAATAGTAAGGCATACATCATAGAATCCCTACAGTGTGGAAACAGACCCTTCGGCCCAACAAGTCCACACCGACCCTCAGAGCATCCCACCCAGATCCATTCCCCTATAATCCACCTAAACTACACATCCCTGAACACTATGGACAATTTAGCATGGCCAATCACCTAGCCTGCACATCTTTGGACTGTGGGAGGAAACTGGACACCCAGAGGAAACCCTCGCAGACACAGGGAGAACGTGCAAATTCCACACAGACAGTCGCCCAAGAATGGAATCGAACCCAGGTCCCTGGCGCTGTGAGCCACCGTGCCGCCCTAAGCTGGACCTGATTATTTCAATACGTCATTAACATCATCTCAACGGGTTAAAATACAGGGATTGTTAGGAACAACCCAAGGCAGATTTGAGGTGGTTTTGTTTCTTTTATTGCATGTTGACAGTTTATGTTTCTGCAGTGTAACGAATCTCATGTTCGGTCAGGTACATCCCACCCTTTTAAAAATGATACCCAAGGAAAACAGAAGAGTGGATTGAGGAGCTATGACTATTTTAAGCAGGGGGAGAAAAAAAGAAGAGGGATCAGACACTATGTCCATTGACTATCAGTGATCATTGCTAGAAAAAAACCCGGTATGGAAAGAAGTCAAAAATCAGACTTGACAGTGATACCTCTTGAAACACCAATCAGGTTACTGTCGACAGAACAACTGTGATGAATGACTATATGGGCAAAACAGGGCATTGAGTATCTGTGCAATTGTCCATAAGGAGTAATATCCATTGGAAGTAGAAGATATCCATTTAAAAAGTGAAGCACCACCAAACCTGCTCTGTGAACCGTGACAACTAATCTGCTCAAATTTGTACATGTGTTGTAGTCAAATGACTAATAACTATAGACTAAAAGGTTGGGTGAAAACTTTGAAAACCATGGAAAGTCTCAAAAACAAGGCTGGAAGTATACCTTTAAAAAAAAAAACACCTAAAACTAATGACTTGCTGTTTTGTTCTCTTAGTCCAACCAGAAAAAGCTACATGAATTTGCACCAAAACAGTATAGGGGCATTTTTTAAGGTCAAGATTGGTTGTTGGATGGTATGGAATTCAATTGTCAGCTGCAGGAATAACATACACTTGTCATCAAAAAAATCAAAATAACATTAGTGCAGTTAAGCATGACTTAAAGCAGCTGTCAGATTTATGTACAATGTTTATGCAAGCCTTTTAAGACAGGATAACATGGCTTGATTTGTCAAGTTTCATTTTTCAGAACAGCCAAAACAGTATTTAAATGAGATTCTAGTAGGATTCATATGTGCAAACTATAGATTTAAATTAGTTGGAGAAGGATTAGAAGGAAGTTGAAGAGTATTTCTTTTTACCCAGGGGTTTTAGAAAGTTGGTAAGGGCAGAAACCCAAATCACATTTAATAAATAATTTTGTAAATTGTACATGTGATCCACAGCCCTGTAAATTACTGCACTTCGAGAAGCAAAAGATGAGATTAGGTTTGAATACTCTTTTCCATTTGCATGGATTTTATTGACTGAATTGCTTCCTTCTGTGCCTTAAATCTTTGATTCCACAAAGTACAATTTAGCTCATGATTAATTCTCAACTGTAGCTTTGACTTATCCTAATAATATGCTGGGAATATACTGAAGAAATACTTCTTGACCTTTATTTCCACTTATCATTACTCTGACAAGTAATAGGGAATTATTGAAAATTATTTGAAGACTGCATGCTGTCACGATACTATGGCTTTAGGAGGTATATTTGTCCTTTTTTCTATGGAGAGGTTGAGACGGAGGTAACAGACGGCCTATCCCAAGCCCAAAACGTAAATAGTTTGAGGGGCCTAGGGTGTTTTTTTTTTAAAAAAAGAAGTTGGAACAACAGAAGCAGCATGAAGTGGTGGGGTCAAGCTCCCATAGAACCAGGATTTTAGTTTAACTTTTAGTAACTGCTAGAGTTTGGAAGCTGCAAAAGTCACTCCCTGCTACAGAAGGACACTTGAGTTCTATCTCTCTCGTATACAGTTTTCTATTGATGTTCCTTCCTCCTGGACTGCAGAATTGCAAGCGAGATAATTTATTTTACTGACTTTGCCTTTGCCAAGGGTGTGTTTACGGGATGTTACTATATTGGAACAGTTGCTGTTTAGTCGTTAGATAATCTATTATTCTGTTAAGTTTTCCAATAGAGTTAAGTTATTCTAATTCATCTTTCTTCTTTTTGGAAATTAACTATAATGTAAGAATAAATTGCGTTTTCCTTCAAGCCTGGTAGTCTGACCAACTGAATCACATCTGGAACAACACCTTACACTTGCCTTTAAAAATAAGAAAAAGTTGGTGTCTGGGCTTAATATTTTGAGGGGGATTTGGTCTGGTCTATAACGTTGCATTATAACAGAATAAAACAATAGTCCCAATAACCAGCCAGCACTAGAGGTGATCTACCAAGTTTTTTGTGGGAGCAAGAAACCCCTACCATTGATATTTTTCCATTGGCAAACGGTGGTTCCAAATAAAGGATATTGAACAAAGATTTCGGATTTCAAATGGACAATGGATACAGTCGCAGACAAAAATTAATTACTTGGAAATCTTTGGTGACCGAGAAACAGTAGCCCCCTTGCCTCCTTCCAAATGAGAGACCATCTTCCATGAGTTGCTAGAGTGATAAGATGTGAAGACGTGCCACTTAGTTGTATGGTATCTGCAAATCTCACATGCTATTAAGGAAGATGTTGAAAGACAGATGGAACATAAAAGAAAGTTCATTTTTCTAAATTTGCAGGAGACCCTTTCAATTAAACTTGCCTAGGCGCGCAGAACAAGAGTTGGTCATGTCACCACTGTTCTGTGCATTGACATCTATCTAATCACATAGACTTCGAGATGTACAGCACAGAAACAGACTCTCTAGTCCAACTCATACATGCTGACCAGATAACCTAAAGTGATCTAGTCCCATTTGTCAGCATTTGGCCCATATCCTTTTAAAAACTTCCTATTCATTTACATGTCCAGATGCCTTTTAAATGTTGTAATTGTACCAGCCTCCACCACTTCCTCTGGCATCTCATTCCATACACGCACCACCGTCTGCACGAGAAAGTTGCCCCTTAGGTGCCTTTTAAATCTTAAACCTATGCCCTCTAGTTTTGGACTCCCCTACCATGGGGAAAATACTTTTGCTATTCACCCTATCCATGCCCCTTAAGATTTTATAAACCTCTAAAGGTCACCCCTTGGCCTCAGACACTCTAGGGAAAACAGCCCCAGCCTATTCAGCCTCTCCCTATTGCTCAAACCCTCGAATCCCAACAACATCCTTGTAAATCGTTTTTGCACCCTTTCAAGTTTAACAGTATCTCTCCTATAGCAGGGAGACCAGAATTGAACGTAGTATTCCAAATGTGGCCTAATCAAAGTCTTAAACAGCCAGGTAGAGGGTCAGACATGATATGCCTATGACAAAGCTTTTAAATTTTCTTTACATTCTTCTCACAACATAAATTTCCACCTGGTTTTGTGTCATCTACAAATTTGTATTTGGTAACCACATCAAAATCACTTGCGTAGATTGTCAACAGTTGGGCTGAAGCACTGATCCTTGTGCTACACCACTATTCACAGCCTACCAACCTGAAAATGACCCAGTTATTCCTACTTTGTTTGCTTTTCATCAACTAATCCTCAATCCATGCCAGTAGATTACCTCCATGTGGGGTGTTTGAACTTTGTTTACTAACCTCTTATGTGGGACCTTATCAAATGCCTTCTGAAAATTCAAATGCTTCATATCACTTGTTCTCCATTACCTATTCTACTAGTAACATCCTTAAAAAACACTCAATTTGTCTCAAAATTTCCCTTTCATTAATGCATGTTGATTCTGCCCAATCAGATCATTGTATCCTAAGTGATCAAGTATTAATTTTTTTTAAATAATAGATCCTTGTATTTTCCCTACTACTGACATCACACTGATATGACTAGTTCTTAAATTTTGTTCTCTGTGCTTTCTTAAATAATCATAGATCATCATCACCATAGAATCCCTACAGTGTGGAAACAGGCCCTTCGGCCCAACAAGTCCACATTGACCCTCAGAGCATCCCACCCAGACCCATCCCCCAATAACCCACCTAATCTACACATACCTCAACACTATGGGCAATTTTCCATGGCCAATCCACCTAGCCTGCACATTTTTTGG